AGGGCCCCCCCAGGGGTCCCGGGGGCCGCAGGACGGGTGAGTCAGCGCTGACGCACGCCCAGCTGTGTGCATCTGGCGCGAAGCCGCGCCCCGCCCCGCAGGATTCAGGGCAAGGGGTGTCCGGAGGAGTAGGGGGACGTCGTGGTTCGTCGAGTGATGGATTAGAGGCTTACCTGATCTGCGAGACCCTAGGCTAGTCCCTCCTGGGAATCCTTCCGTAAGTCGAGCTCAGCCCCCCAACACACTCACATACACACACCCCGAGTTCCGCTTTCCATGAATACAGGGAGGTCCGTGCCCATGTGGGTAATCCCAGCCTGGCCTCTGCCCCGTTCCCACGCTCACACATCCACACGGCCGTGTGATCTCAGGCATCCATTCATATATAAGGCCCCTGGGACACCCGGCAGACATGGTGCCCACGCCCAGACAACCCCATCGGCCACGGCCCCACGGTCTCTGCCTTTGTCACCCTCCCACGCTTTCAAACTCACACACGCGTCCCGTGGCATGCACACGAGCTGTCACCCACCTGCGGATTGGTCCACACGTCACCCCTCCCACCCATGAATCCCCTGTCCCGATCACAGACTCACCTGCACAGCTCTGCTCCTCCGTCCCTGCTCACACGGACACAGCTGCAAGCCCAGTGACAGGTCGGCACCCCGGCGAGTCACACGCCCCACGCCCCGATCCTTGCTTAATTGCAATGCATGTGCATGACTTTACATGCACACTTACACCTATGCTCTCCTACACGCTTGGGGGACCCAGCTGTGGGGTCCCAGCCCCGTCCCTGCCTGCACCCCTCCATCTCCCAGGCCCCTCCCACAGCTCCTTGGGGAGCCCTGACAGACCCCCCCTCACCTCCTGGCCTTGTAGGCAGGACTCAATGCCTCTTGTGTGTGTCCTTGTCATGAAGCCAGCCATAAAAAGAAAGGCCAGTCAGTTTCCAAAAGGTCAGAGCTAAGGGACTCGAGCTTGGAGCAGGAGACCTATGATTAGATGCTGGGAAGGACTTTTAAATGCAATTAGCAAAGTTGAGGGGAGACCCTTTCCCACTGCACAGGGGCTGGAGGCTGGGTCCAGGGAGAGCCCCGTGCTCGGTGAGGTCCTTAGGTCCAGCCTGGACAAGGGCTGGCTGGGGTGGTTGTTCCATGGGGGAGTGACCTTTGCGGTCAGCAGAGCCTGGGAGCCCAGATCTGAGCCCCAGGGGGCTGGAACCCCGATGCCGCTTACTGGTAGCCCAACCAAAGAGCAGGCTGTTACAGCTGGGGGTGGGTGGTGGTGGCAGGGTTGGGGTGTGGATGGAGAGAGAGAGAGAGGAGAATGAGAAAGAGGCAGAAAGGGAGGGAAGGGGAGAGAAAGAATAGAGAAATCTCCACAGAGAGAGAGAGACATCCAGAGAAAGGGTTTGGAGAACCCTCAAAATACCCACAGACAGATCCAGAGAGAGACAGGGAGTGAGAGGGAGCCAGAGAAAGAGAGACGGAGTGAGAGAAAGAGAGACGGATGAACTGAGCTGGACGCGGAGTCCTGGAAAGACCTGGAAAGATCTATGTGGGGCAGAGAGAGGAGAGAGGAAAAACAGAAGCAGACTGGGGGCGAGGGGGGCCAAGGCTGGATCGGGGCTCTGTGGAGTCTGGAAAAGGAGGGTTCTGACCCAGGACGAGCTGGGCTTGGGGGGAGGGTTCCTCATCCAGATCCCTCCCTCCCCCAATTCTGGCCCTCACCCCGGCTCCCAATGGTGAGGTCAGCAGAGCCGCCCCCAGGGGTGAGGTCATGGCAGATTCGGTGGAACCCAGCTCCTGCCAAGGGGCTGGGGCAGGCGGTCAGTGGGCCAGTCTGCCGGGGGCGGGGGCAGGGGAAAGCAGGCAGGGGCCTCGGGCCCAGGGGAAGCCCCCGCCCGTTTCTGCCCAAGCCATGTGGTTCCACTTAGCGCTGGCCAGGCCGCCTGGGTGGGGCCGGTAGGATGGCCTGGTTTAGGGTCTGGCTGGGCCGGATCGGTCTCTTCCGCTGCTGCAGAGAGGGAGAGGGTCAGAGGGAAGCAGTCAGGCGGTTATCGAAAGGTGCTTCGAATTAGGTCAGGGACCAGGGTGATTTCTCGCTGTTTGTCTCTCTGTCTCTCTCTGTGTCTCTGGCGAGCACACGCACCCTATAGCAATAAACCTCTAACAACAAAAACGAATGGGGAGGTCAGAGGTCGTGATGGCCTTGGGAGGTCACAGGTCAGAGACTGGGATCAGCGACTGGAGGTCAGAAGGTCAAGTCAGAAGGGGAGTGCAGGCACAGGAGTTAGTGGGGCTGGCTGGAGAAAGGGGTCTGACGGAGGAGACCCATCCGCAGTCCGGGGAGGGGGTTCTGGTGGTGGCGGTTACGGGAGGGGGGTCAGACAGGAGGTGGGAGGACCCACAGGAGGAGCCCCTCCTTTCCACGCGGGTTTCCGCTGGCGAGAGGGCTCCAGACTCGGGAAAGGGCCTCAGGGAGCTGGTGCGGAGGAGTGAGGAGAGGGGGACCGTCGGGTTCTGGGGCTCAGGCCAGGAAGCTTTGATTCATCCTAAAACTAGGTCAGCTTTTATTCTCACCAAAAAACCAAAGGGAAAAACACACAGGAGTCAACAGGGCTCATGAGGCCGGAACATCTGTGGGGTGCAGGAGGGGGGTAATGCTGGTCCCAGGCCTGTGCCTTCTTCCAGACACACAAGCACCGTGTGGGAGGGGGCTGGGCCCCCCAAAACCTGAGCCACACACGTGGCGTCCCAAGCTTGTTCTAGCTGCTCCCCAATGACCCTGACCTCTCTCTGCCACAGACCCCGTGGATGTGCTGAAGGCTCTGGGCGTGCGGGGGGGCCACGCTGGGCTCCCCGAGGGGCCTGGCTTCTGCCCGCAGAGGGCTCCAGAGGGTGACCGGGCCTTCCGGGTAGGCGAGGCCAGCACGCTCAGCATCCCCACCTGGGAGCTCTTTCCAGGTGAGTCGGGGCGGGAAAGTCTGGGGGCCTGCCTGGGTCGCGGTCGGGCCCTCTGAGCAACCCCACACCCTCTGCCCACAGATGGGCACTTTCCCGAGAACTTCTCTGTGCTGATGAGTCTTCGAGCCCAGCCCGCCAAGCATGCAGTTCTTCTCTCAGTTTACGACGAGAAGGGTGCCCGGCAGCTGGGCCTGGCACTGGGGCCCGCTCTGGGCCTCCTGGGCGGCCCCTTCCGTCCTCTCCCCCAACAGGTCAACCTCACAGATGGCAGGTGAGTAGGGAGCGGGTGGAGGGCGGGTCCTGGAAGGCTGGGACAAGAAACACCCATGCTGAGGCTCTCCCCCTGCAGATGGCACCGGGTGGCGGTCAGCATCGAAGGAGAGAAGGCGACCCTGGTGGCTGACTGCGAGCCTCAGCCCCCCGTGGCAGGCCAGGGGCCCCGGATCCTCAGTACAACGGGGCTCACTGTGCTGGGGACCCAGGACCTCGGCGAGGAGACTTTCAAGGTAGGGGAAACTGAGGCAGGGGTCGAGAACTTTAGCCAGAGCCCAAATCTGGAGAAGGAGTTGGAGAAGGAAGACACAAATCCCACCCTGGCCCCGGGAGTGCCATGTTTGCATGCTCTGTTGCCGTGAGCAAGCGCGGGACCATACGGCCATGAGGTCATTGGTTGTGACAATGGATGCTTGGCCTGGTGACAGGTGACCAAAGCTCTGACCTGAGACGGGGCCGTTGCCATGATGTGAGGCTGTGTGCAGGGCTGTTGTGACGTTGAGCACCAGCCGGGCACAGGGTGTGTGACCGTGTGACTAACGTGTTTTGGTGCGGTGAGCGCAGATGGTGGCTGGGCAGGGAGGATGGTGCGGAGGAAGCCTGGACCCTCTTATCTGTGCCCAGTACCTCCAGGGCCACCGGGCACATCTTGGCATTCCCCACAAACCTGAGAACGAAGGAACCAATCTTCGATGGCATGCCTTTTTTTCTCATTTTTCCTCTCTCTCTCTCTGTGTCTCTCCCTGGTCAAAGGAGAATAAATGAAGGAACAAATAAAACATTAAATAAATCATTCTTTTTTAAAAAGACGCTGTGTTTAATTTTATTCATTCCTTCACTTATCTTAATTGGACCAGAGAGAGATACAGAGAGAGAGAGAAGGAAAGTGAGAAAGCGAGCCACCAGGTCCGGGACTTGAACCGTGCTTGGCCATGTGGGAGTGTCCAGTGCTTCAACCACATGCCACCTGCTGGTCCCTAATAAATAATTATTTTAAAAATTTATTTATTGTACTTTATTTGCAATTATTCTTATTTTTGAATTTGACCGGAGGGAGACAGGAGAGAGAAAGAGAGAGTGAGAAAGTAAGCAGCCAGGTCTGAGACTTGAACTGCAGTCAGCCATGTGGGAGTCCAACACTTAACCATCACATCACGTGCTGACCCTGGGACACACCTACTTTTATTTATTTATTTATTTTTGAGAGGTTTCTGCTATAGGGCGCATGTGCTCACTAGAAAGACAGAGAGAGACAGAGAGACAGAAAGCGAGAAATCACCCCCTAGGGGGCATGGCCATGCCGCAATCCCTTCTCCTCCATTCTCTTCTTGGGATCTTGGGCACGCACGCACACGCGCCCGGCGTGAGTTTAAGCCACCAGGTCTGGGACTCAAACTGCAGTCGACTACATGGGAGTCCAGCGACATAGCCATTACGCCAACTGCTGGTCCCACGGACACATCTTTTTGTGGGGAGTGGTTTGTGGTCATGGTTTTCTGTGACCCTGAAAGAATCTCCCCTTCTCTTGGTTACAGGGGGTGGAGGGACAGCTGAGGGTGACGTGGGCACGCCCTTCTTAAGTTAGGTGCTCTGGGTACAGACACAGCTGGCTTTGGTGCCGGGAGGTGGGCGGGGCTGTGTGGGGATTAGGGGTCCGAGTCAGCCCGTGGGGTCTCCCCTTCCTCTGCCAGGGAGACATCCAGGAACTGCTGATAAGCTCGGACCCTCAGGCTGCCTTCCAAGCCTGTGAGCGGTACCTCCCCGGCTGTGACGACCCAGACCCTGCCACCACGGGGGTGAGTGAAGGGCTGGGGTGTCCTGCCCTGTGATCCCAGCCTGATCCTAACCCCTAAACCTAACCCTCTCCCTAACCCTAACCTGGTTTGATGCCCTGGACCCCACACCATGGAGGTGAGTGAATGGCTGGGGGTGTCCTGCCCCGCCATCCCAACCTGACCCTAACCCTAACCCTAACCCCTAAATCTAACCCTAACCCCTAAATCTAACCCTAACCCCTGACCCTAACCCTAACCCCTAATCCCTAACCCTAACGCCTAATCCCTAATCATGACCCCTAACCCGGACCCTAACTCTGACCCTGACCCTACCCTAACCCTAACCCTAACCCCTAAATCTAACCCTACCCTAACTCTGACCCTCCCTAACCCTGACCCATAACCCCTAACCCTGACCCCTAACCCAGACCCTAACTCTGACCCTGACCCTACCTTAACCCTAGCCCTAACCCCTAATCCCTAGCCCTAACCCCTAATCCCTAACCCTAACCCCTAACCCTGACCCCTAACCCAGACCCTAACTCTGACCCTGACCCTACCTTAACCCTAGCCCTAACCCCTAATCCCTAGCCCTAACCCCTAATCCCTAACCCTAACCCCTAACCCTGACCCCTAACCCAGACCCTAACTCTGACCCTGACCCTACCCTAACCCTAACCAAGTCATTTCCAGCTCCAGGCCTTAAGAAGGAACGTCTCACACCCCAAACATGTGGCTGAGTGACCTCTGACCCAAAACAGGGTGGAGAGACCTCTGACCTCAAACTTTAACCTCTCAGGTCATTTAACTGAGTGACCAACCCAGGTCACAGGATAGACCTTGACCCCAGGTCGCAGGGCTGAGTGAGGGCCAATGGACCATGGCCCCCAGGCTGCCTGAGTAATGGGGCCTCACTCCCCTTTTCCCAGGTCCCCCAGGGCGAGCCAGAAACCTCCCCTCCTCGACGCAAGGGGAAAGGGAAAGGGAGGAAAAAAGGGAAAGGTCGCAAGGGGAAGGGCAGGAAGAACAAGAATAAGGAAGCCCCGGCGTCAAGCCCTCCTCCTGGCTCCCCCGACAACCAGGTAAGACCCCTGCGACCTCTCTTCGTTGGGCTTCGCTGTCCGACATCTGGCCTCTGATCCCTACTGACGTCGGGCCTCCATCCCTGGTGGTTGCCCATAGTCTCGTGTCCCTGAGCTCCGACTCTTAGTTGACATGACCGTTCCGGATGGGGGCCAGTCCTGGTTTCTAATCTCTCCCATCTCTGCTCCCCCACCTCCCATCCTGGGGGCCTGGAGGGTGGAGACACACCTGGATGACCCTAATTATCAAGGGGTCACGGTGAGGGCTCCTGTTTATGGGGACTCATTAGCTGGGGGGTGAATGATGAGTTCATTCATGTGTCATGGTTTGGGGTTGAGGAAGGGGTGAGGACTACACATGGTGGAGGCCACTAACTGGAGGCTCTCTTTGGCCGCTCTGGTAGAAATGCTGGATGGAAATATTCCGTCTCTGAGGGAGATATTGATGGTCAATGTTTGGGGTGTTCCTACTTGGGGTCACTGTTGAAGGTCATGGACAGAGATCATTGTTGGTGTTACTGATGGCCCTAGTTTAGGGCGAATGTTGGGGGCTATTAGTTGGGGGGTTCTTCTTGGAGGATCACTGACTGGAAGGCACCAGCTGGGGTCACTAGTTGGAGGGGAGATTTGCAGGGGTTCACTGATGGGGTCATTAGTCTGGGAGTCCCTGAAGGGTTATCCATTAGGAAGTCATTGATTAGTCATTGGTTAGTAGTTATTGCTTGGGGATCATTAGTTGGGAAGCCTTGGTTGGACTCACTTCTGGGTATTCTTTGTTAAACAGATCACTGGCTGGGAAAATAATTGATTGGGGGGGTCAGTAGTGGGGCTTATTTTGGGGGGTCATTAATTAGTGCTTAGTGTTGGGGGGCTGTCTCTGGTTGGGACCATTGATGGAAGTCATTAATTGGGGGTTGCCAGTGGGTCGCTGGTTGCAGGGAACAACTGAGCTCTATTGATGTGGGTCTCTACTTGGTAGGTCATTGGGTGGGGATTCTTGGTGTGGGTCCTCGGTTGGGATTATTGGTTGGGGAGAGGTGGGGTCACTGATGGTACAAAGTCTTAGTTCCAGATCTTTCTCTTTTAGAGAGATTTTGCTATAGGGTTCATGAGCTCACTGGAGAGACAGAGAGAGGGAAAGTGAGAAATCACCCTGGGGGGATGGCCATGCCACAATCCCTTCCCCTCCATTCTACTCTTGGGATTTTGGGCACACATGCACACATGCCCAGCATGAGTTTTAGGTCACTGGACCCAGGACTCGAACCACGGTCGACTAGGTGGGAGTCCAGTGATGTAACCATTGTACCA